TTTTTGGAAACTAAATTAGTTCCAGTTTATTTTAACGGAAATACCGTACTTTTACTTCTATTTTGTTCGAGAAATATTTTCTGACGTCTATTCTTCTATGAAAATAGCTTGGTTACACTTGTTTATTCGACAACACATCTCACTCGTTCGTATACCATATGATTAAATTTTGTTTTTCGGATACTAAATTAATTTTAGATTATTTGATTGGAATTTGGGAATTGATGTTTGAATTCAAATCTAAACCCATTTTAAATTGCATTTTTCAATTTAAATTAGGGTTAATTTTTCCATTAAATGGTGCACACGTAATTAGGTGTAAAATTTGCTTACATGTAAACTTGTCATTAAATTACCCACAAGTATTTCACAATGGATTTTTTTCAATAATATTGCCATTTTAAATTAGGGGCAATTTAGCCCATAAGTAATGATTTGTATCAAAAAGCTAATAAGCTAAATGAAAACGCTCCTATAGGTAGCGTATTAAGTGCTTGTTTGGGAACACTTCTCAAAAAGTCCATTTAAGATATGGACTTCTCCAAAATGGACTTCTCCATAAGTCTTTATCATTTACTTCTACATAATGGACTTTTTAGAGAAACAACTTATCCATAAGTCCATTCATAACTTAGCACCAAACATAAATATTTATCCAAATGGACTTTTGCATCTAAAAGTCCATTTGAAAAGTGTTTCCAAACAAGCTCTAAATTTCAGCTGAAAAGAAAAGTTGCTAATCAAACATAAGTTTTAGCGAATCCTAAAAGTCAAATAAGCCAAAATGCACAAACAGCTAAATTTTGTAGAAAACGCTGGTATCCAAACATAGCCAATATTGATATTTATAATTAATAATCTAGGTTCGGACATTCCATAAATATTAAATAGCTAACATGGGTATTTTAATATCATTTGTACTAATATAACCCTTTAATTATTTGTAATTTTACATAGTGAGACATTAAGTGACTAATATATCCTGACTTTTGATTTGTTTCCTTCAATTAGTTATTTAATTGTAAATGTATTTTAAAAGTTGATAACTTTTGTATTTCTTATCGGTTTTACATATATAATATATCAAATTGATCATCTTTTGATGATCTTCGATTTGACATCCATATTGTATATATGAAATAAATGAATTATATTTATCTCTATAATAATAAAAAATAATAATATTTATTAAAATTCATTAGAAAAATAAAATTATTTCTCAATTGATATATTTATGTTTAATGTAGTTATATGTTGTAAGTTAAAAAATTATTATAATATAACACAAGTAAGTCGCACAAATAAAAAAGTGTCATACTAAATATATAATAATATATATTTTTATAAAAGGTATTTAAATTTTCAATTATTTCTTCTCATTAATTTTAGATTTAAAAAAAAATTAACAAGCACCCGTGTAATACACGGGCGTTGTACTAGTATTTATATAAGTCTAAAAATTCTTGAAAAGTCTTAAAGATACATAGAAGTCCTGAGCAATGCCACATGTCACGTTTAGAGATTTCTAATACATTCTACAAAATCCATGAGATAAAATCTTATTCTTAACAAAATCCTAAAAGGTCTTTTAGAATCTTAAACGAATGCACCCCTTATTTTCATTTGGAGCATTTGCCTTTCAATCCTGCACGCCACCAGAAGGCTCTACAACCTTGCTTCCACTAGTTCCATTTGAACAAGCTTTTTTTCATGTCGTTTCACGAAGAAGGTTCAACCTGTACAGAAAAATGAGTTTGTGGTCCCCTGCCCGACATTCGCTGCAACCAAGTCAGTAAAAAGCTCGACAAAGGTGTAGCCCTTCTTGTTCATGATCGCATTCAGACACAAGTTCTCAAAGAACTTTGAGAGAGCGCAAACTGATATCGATCTCAGCTTCACCTTTGATATTTCCTTCGAACATATATCTTACTTATATATTCCGTCCTTTTGAGAACATGCTCTCGCACAAACGCTCCCTCCAACATAATGTAAGGCATAATCTTCTCCATTGCCTCAAACCGAGCAACCCTATCTTCCTTTACGTCGTCGTCATCTCAGCAGCAACCGTAAGCATGGTGTGATGCTGTTGTTTCAACATAATCATTCAAACTCATCGCGGACAAATTTAAATACACAACCATAAACAACGTTCTTGAAAAATCAAACCTTTTCTTTTTTAGATGTGTGAGGAATAATGTAAGAAAATTCATTGTACCTTCCGGCGCGCGCACACATATACATACATACATCGTACATATGCAACACATAAGAAAATTAATTCATCACCTCTAGATCCATTTCTAAAATCACCAAATCAATGATTATCACCATATTCTACAATTATTATAGCTGGGCAACATCAACCTCTAAGGAAGATAAATGACCAGAAGCACAGCTAGAGTGAAAAAAACGAAAAATATAAAAGGAAATTAAAAAAAAAAAAAAAAAATCTAGCAAAGCCCATCAAATTCTTGAATTCTAGCACAACCTTTTTTTCTCATTAATCACCACATAGTTCCCACTGAAGCCCATTGCGAGTAGAACTTATACTTTAGCTGATCACACAATTATCTCTAAGGATCAATCATACTCTGGATTTTATTTATGTTGCTCCCGAGCATTTTTAGACCAAAAAGAGAGAAACAAATGTTGATATTGTCCTGCATAGTATAGTTCTAATCTTCAGGACGTGAATAGTCTACGGATAAATAGCCTGCTTAACCGATTTTCTCAGAAGGGACAACCTGAAACAGACGATTTCACAATACGATAACAAGATCACACTTTAGAAACGAGATATGCTATTTAGAGTGTTTTGAGCAGTTAGGGATCGAAACACAATTTTAACAAGTTACTTGATCATTGCTGGACGATGTTCTCGTTCTCTTGATTTCGTGCACCCGGCTAGCTTGATCCTCGAGACCTTCCTCGTTGAAATTCTGACCTATCACCTCTGACGAAAAAGGCAAAACAAAAGTCACGAAATAAACCAACATAGTAAAGTTAGAAAATAAAATAAAAAAAAAAAATACTGCCTAGTTAAATTCCATATTCAAAAGGAATGATTGTCATGTTGAAAGCTAAAAGTTACATGTCTGCATAAGTCAACCGGAAAGGCAAGATAAGAAACTTGAACACATTAAATTATGCAGAAAAGAAGACCGGGAACTGGCATTTGAAAACATTAAAAACTAAATTTCTTGAATAGTGAAAGCCGAGAATTACGTTTCTAGACAAAGTTGGGAAAAACAACTACCTGCATTGCTGAAATCAATTTTCGGCCAGCGACCATCATGACGAACCGTAAACTGCGTCCGTAAAAGAAATGTTGCAAATTAGAAAGATAAAAAAAAAAAAAAAGAATCAGAACCAGAGCTATGCCAAAATCCAGCTATCTTCTAAAATTAAAACAAACCTCTCAAGGCATTACTGGTGCATTCTTGAAATTTCAATTTTATATAAAACTGCCCCAAATCATTTACTGAGGGATTAAAAGTCATATATTTCCTTTTTTGTATGTGAGTGTGTTATGGTAATATGCTTATAAATCACAAGGATGTTAAATGCAAAACCTGGCCGGATGGAGCATGAAAGTTGCCATGTCTGTGCTTGGACGATTTCGACCCCGACTGGCAGCTTTTGTGCGAGTGCCGACCGAAAAAATTTAAGGATTTGTTGAGTTGATTGACAAACGTAGCCTCCATAGATTCCAGATATAGGCTATGTTTCTCATCCGTCCACTTGGTGGGGCTCCTTTCGTTCGCCCGAGACCGCTGGAGTCAATAATTTGTCAGAAACCGTGAAGCGAGAACCATACTACTCTTCCAAACACAAGAAAAATATAGCAAACTTAAGGAAAAAATTATGACTTGCAAGATTTCATTCTTTACGCGACGAGATCATGGAAAATATCGCTTACTTAAGAGTGCAACAAACACATGCTGTTATTAATATGACTAGTCTACGAAACATTTTCGAGTCGATTAATCTAATCCTCCGATATCTACCTCAAGAAATGTACCAGCTAAGCAGTCTAATGTCATAGATCATCATAACATTGTTAAGGTACAACAACGTTATATATACTTAGGATTTTCTATTCAGATAACCAACTCTTTACAAACACAAATACAGAAACAAGACAGCATAGCCTCTCTCTCAAGGAAATTAAACCGAATTCAAAACAAATTAGCATCTACTCAGTGAAGAACGGTAGATTCTTACAAAAAAAGGTTTAGTAACTATGCAAATTGTTTAGGACAAACAAGCAATCAGGACAACATAGAAAGATCAAGCACCCAATCTTAAACACTACTAAATTAAAAAAAATAAATAAATAAATAAATTGTCCCCATAAACCCCAAATCACACATCAATCATAAAACTTAAACCCCAATTCAGATTTTAATTTTCCGCAAAACAAAAAAAAAGGAATTAAAAAAAAAAAAAATTAAACAGCCAAAAGGAAAAGAGATCCAGAGAATGAAAAATTTTTATTACCAAAGTTGAGGTCTCTTCTTGCTCCCGACAATAATCCACCGATTCCTCCATAACCTCGTCCACCAACTCCAAAATCGAAATTAACCTTCAGAAAAAAAGAAGACAAAAATGGGGTTTTTTTTTTTTTTCTCTCTTAAGACTGTGTTGTTGAGATTTAGGATTTTTGTGGTCTTATATATGGAAAAATGTTACTATCCCCTTACGGAACTATTCTTTCAAGTTTTTGTAGCCGTTATATCATAATATAACCTTCAGTAATAATTTATTTAAACCGAACTATTCTGTCGAGTTTTTGTAGCCGTTATATCATAATATAACCTTCAGTAATAATTTATTTAACGGTTATACTGATTAGTAACGGAACGGTAACATCTCTCCTTATATATATATATATCAGGAAAAAAGTGAAAAAAAAAAAAATTACGATGAAAAAAAAAGAAAAAAGTGAAAAATCCGTTTTTTTTTTTTTAATTATTAGTTCGTATTGTTTTATTATTATTATTATAGGAATTGTAGAAAGCGCAAAGGTAGATGCCAGCTGGTCGACGCTTTTACACGTGTCAGCTTGAAAGATGCGTTTGCAATCGGGCAAAGGCTAACCTTAAAGCGGCCAGATATTTTTATTGGGTCCTCAAAATATCCGAAAGCCCCAATACATACGGACTCGCAAAATATCTTTTTATCTTTCCAGATTAGTTCTATGATCTTTTCCTGTGTACTTCCAACTGCCGAATTTGGTCTTTATTATCAATATACTACTTCTATTTTATTTGTATTTTGGCCAGCTGGGATTATATTAATATTTGATTTTTGTAAAAATACAGGTGATATTATAATATGATAATGATATTCGAGGATAAGATAATTGAAAATGACCTATTGTCCTTAATGCCTAAGAAAAAAAATGATAAATTTGATTTTCGAATAATAATATGCTAGTTCGGTTTATGCTTAATGCTTATTATGATTAAAATTATGGTAACGTTTTTGTAGAGAAATGCTATGGAGTCGTCGGATGTTTCCTTATGGAGTCAATGTTTATTTATTGCAAGACACGCGTCAATACGTTATTTTGTGGATAATTATGGATGACTCCATAAGCAGAGTCATCTGATGGCTCCATAGCAAAACCGCGTTTTTGTACTTGGACAAGTTGAGTCGAGTTAGACAAGGCCAAGAGTCGAACCAACCTGTTGACCCGGCCCGGATTAACCGGTTTTTTAACCAAATCCTTACCCTTTATGGGCCGGTTCATGGTCATGTTTTTCTCCTTTTTGACCCGCCGAGTCGGGCCGGTTCCAAGTCAAAATATAAGTCGTAGTTTTTTTTGTTATTATTTTTTTAAAACAGACGGTTCAATGAACTGTCGTATCGGGCCAGTTTATTTGAAACAACCCTTAGATATAGCTGGGCTCCGTGCCCAACGTTCGAGGCCCACCGGGTGGCTAGGTCGTGAATCGGCCAGGCCTTTGAACACGTCTGAGTCGAGTTAGTGTTCGAACTTTTATTTAACAAGGTTCATTATTTAAATAAGTCGAGTTAGGGTTCATTATTTATCAAGTTTAACTCGCCACGAATGTTGACAAAGTGAAGTGTGAAAAAATGACATAAAATTTCCTATTTTAAGTTGGTTAGAAAAAAAACGAGTTCAAATTAAAGCATTAACCAACCGAACTACTTGTATAATGCCTCTACTATATATAAGTAAATTATATGATTTGGAAAGATAGGATAATTCAAAACATGACCTTTCGTTTCCCAAATGTCTAGAAGATTAATAGACCTGACAGTCGTTGGAAGGCAAAAAAAATCAAGGAGCACAATGGAACAAAATATACCATATTTTCCAACACGTGTAGAAAAAATATAATGACATCTTCGATATTTAATTTGGATTTTTAACTTTTTAAAACTTAGGAAATTTTGATATATTTAATTTAGATTTTTTAATACTTTTAATCCATTTGAGAATTTAAAAATTCTTATACATACATAGTATTTAACTTATTTAGACTAGAATTTGTCAAGCTTTTTGAAGATTTGAAGGGATTTCAAAAGAAAAAACCTTTCGTTTTCTTCCTACGTCGTTACAATGGGGACCCAAATCCCACCGGACTTAAGATTTCATAAGATTTCTCTAAAATCTCAAAATTTTAAAAAATCTCAAATCTTACAAAGTTTCAAAATGCGGCTCAAAATCACAATCGAATACAACCCTAATTTTAAAATCCGGGTCGGTGATGACTTGGGCTAGACTTCGGATTCGCCAGTGCAACAACCAGGTATCGGGTCAATTGTTGGATTGTGCAATTAATTTTATAAAAATTTAAATTATATTTATATTAAGATATCCGATTTTCAATTGAGAAATGTCGTTTGAAAGATTGATAATGGACAAATTTTTTTTAACGAGTAAGTGTTTTAAAAATCCAACGTTCGAATTTTGATCAATAGTTAGAAAACTATTGATCGCTAGTTAGCTTTTGTTTAGGCTACTAACCAAATTTTGATTGGATTTTTATAAGATTTATTTCGTTAGAAATCCCATCCTTCAAGCTTTCAAATGACACATTTCAATCGAAAAACTGATATCTTGATTATCAGAAAAGTTGATTTGAATTTTTTTTATACACACTTCCACTTTCTTCATCGATCGATTACAGAGGTATCAATTTTCAAAAATTGATATATCAAACTTGATTTTGTTCGTCTCGTCATGGGTTTCAAAAAACCTAAACCAATTTTAAATATTAATTCAAAATTTATCGTTAATTGAATAAACTTTTTTATGTCACATTTGGGTTTTTTTATTATAGACAACTTGTCAGCTTCGATTATTATGGGGCGGAAGTGTCATGCAAAAAAGTTTGTAGAACAAACTCTAAAATTGGTCGTACATTTTTTTTTTTTAAAACAACACTACATATTTTTTTTATTTTTTTATTTTTTTTTAGGGGTGATTTTGCGTAATCCAAACACAAATGTGGAGAGAACCCAAAAAACTGAGCCAAGCGGTGCAATGCGATGTAATCAAAACGCATGTTTTTCCAATATTTTTGATTAGATCGAACGACATCTGCTGATAGTGTATATTAATATTATGTTATGTAATAAACAGTATTCTGTAATAGATAGGCTTTTTATATATTTTTTTGGGGTTTTTTGATGATAAATTTAAGCTGTAAATTGGAGCAGAAATGGAGTTTAGAGAGGTGAGATTAGGGAGGAAGAGAATGTAGAGAGAGAAAGATATTTTGCAGAATAATTTTCATAACTGATTCTCAAGTTTTCCCCTTGGGTAAAAAGCTGAAAGTTGCTCCCCAATGGGCCCACTAATAACAACTTGGGATAATTCCCAATTTAACCAATATCCTAATAATATAAAAATAAAAGAAAACATAAATTGCTTGTTTAAGATGCTGCTACTCCACGTGCCCTCATTCCTCTCATTTTACTGCACTTGATCGACGGTCTTGGGCGTACCACGTGGCATAATCTCGACCGTGCCTCCTTCTTCAGACAAAACCCTATCTGAAGTGTTTGACTTCACCATTTCTTGTTCAACTCGTTCTTCATCTTCTTCAATTTCACTCTTCTTCACAAAATTAACTTCACTGCCCATTTGCACCAGAGAGTTCACAACATATTCATGTTTCACAACTCTTCATATAACGAGAACCAATGTTTTTCATAAGCGAAAACTTCATTATATTACAATGTGTGCAAAATAAATAAAAATAAAAATTTGTGTAACTAAATATTCCACTTGCATAAAACGGAAGATGCTACGGTCCCGTTACGGAACCACTGCGTTGGAGTTTATAACCGTTAAATCAACTATCTCTGATGGTTACATGATGATCTAACGGTTACAAGTCCCGATGGAATAGTTCTGTAACGGGACCTTAGCATTTCTCGTATAAAACATGTAATTTTAAATTTGATATGTGAATTTCAAGAAAATGACTTTAAGAAATCAGAAGAAATTTGGGTAAAACGAACAAAGTCTATGCACGTAAGATACACTCTCCTTAAGACGAAATAGCCATATATATTACCCACAGTTCACAACTAACGTCTCCAAGATACAACGACTTTCGATTTGTGTATAGTGGTAACTCAAATACACAAACATTCGGCGAACAATACTTAAGTTTTGGAACTCTCAAAATAGGAAATAACACAAAGAACACAAGATGAATATGAACTTTGTAAAAAGGATGCAAAGATTATGGAATAATTTTATGTATTGAATGATTTCATGTTTGTGGGTATTTATAGATGTAAGGAAAAACACCTCAAATATGTTTAAATGTCAAAAGACACATTTGGGACGTGCCCGGACAAGAACGGATGGATCTAGTGGCCAAAAGATATCTTATGGTCACCAAGGGTTACAACCCTTTGATTTCCACAGCCAATTGCGCACTCGTACAAGCTCATACGGACTCAGAATCGAGTTATGTTTTTTTTCTACTTGTCCCCAACGGGCCCTTCTACAATTCTAGCGTACATAATGCATAATTATGGCTCGTTTAGTTTGTCCAAACATTTGTTAAAACAAAATGTTTGTGAACCCTCAACCTTTGAGTTATTTAAATTCAATTAAGTAACATATAACACTTAAAATTAATTTCTCATTCACCTTAAAAAGGTTTTGAGAATTTCCTAAGTCTTCTACTTACGAAAAATAGAATCATTAAATCGGTAAAAAACCAATTTTTTCTTACAATCTCCCACATGAATGAAATTAATGCATGTATGCAACACTTGAGAGTTCCGGCGAACTATCATTGCATCGAGATAGATAGCTTGTGGCTTTGAATCTTCCTTAGTGAAATACTATCGGATACACTAGCCGGTTAGTAGCATGATGCTTTGAACTTACCGGCTGTTTGTGTGCACCAAGACAATAGTAATCACAGGGACGAATCTAGCTAATAGAATGAGTGGGGCCTAATCGTTATAAGAAAATATTATCCTATAATAAAAATATAAATACAAAAAACACATTTAGTTTATAATATACTTATTAGTTTTCATATATAGCT